TAGTCTACTAATTATCAATTTGGTTGCTCAGATTCAAAACAGGTTATTATGTCCATGTGAAATATACTATTGAATACGTTTTGCTACTTAAATATTAACAATGTAGACAATGTAAGTATATAATAGCAAAAAAGGTCAACTAGGTCGCTTGCATGTATGCAACGCCTGTAAAAGTTATTCATGACTAATTAGAAGATATATTTATTATTTATATACACTGCGTTATAGTTTTAAACAAATATCATAATCATAAGGAGTCATACACGTGCTAGCTTACAACTTATTCCGATTTCATTTGTACTTTACTAGGCAAGTAGAAATTGTTAAATAGTCGGTAGCATACGACAGGAGTTAACTTACCTGTAAGATTTGAAGCCACATGCAGCTAAATTAGATGAAAAGTGAAACCTAGTTCATGAAATTCCGAATTTTTGGCGAGCTTAACAATATTTTATAGTTGACGGTTCACTAAGGTTTAGGTTTAGGTTATGCTATTTTAGACATTGTCTACACCGTTATATACATTCTGTATATTGCATATATTGTAAATATTGTATACATTGTATACATTGTATACATTGTATACATTGTATACATTCTACACGTTGTATACATTGTACAAATTGTACACATTGTATAGATTGTATACATTTTATGCATTGTAGACATTAGTATACATTGTATACATTGCATACATTGTATATATTGTTTACATTGTGTACATTGTATATATTGGACCTATGCATTGCATACATTGTATAACTTTGTTTTCTTGTTTACAATGATACTGTGCTTCGCGTTCGAGCCGATAGTAGAAGATAAGCCGTATCGTGAGCTGGCTGCCGCAACTGGCAATGCTTACTCGTCGTAGCTGTAATAGCAACTGGTCCGATGATCTGTTCGGTGAAGTAGAAATCTCAAGCGCGAAATATTGTCATGTAGGTGAGTATTAGTTGTACGAGCCTTTTTGACTGACTCGCTCCCTAATACTCCTTTGTTATACGTCTGCATAGTTTTTGTTTCCGTTTGCGCTTCTGACTACTTTCGAGCGTGGTCGCAAATGCTGTTTTGATGGGTAGAAATTGTAATAATAATATAATAATAATAATAATATTTATTCACTCAATGTACAAAGATAACAAACAATATGAGTAAATAAATATAAAATCAAAACAGGCCCAATAGAAGGCATCGCCTGTACATGCACCAATAAATTTAAGTTGAAACTGTAGAATGCAAATGACAAAAAAGGACAAAAATTAGCTACAGTAGATTATGTATTTAGTTGATGTTCGTATTTATGAGTTTATGAATTTCAGGAAATTTAAGGAACCCAACATTTTTGATGAACTACTAATAATGCTTTTAAGGCATACAAGGTTGAATATTTTGAAGCCTGATAGTCCCCACATCAAACCAGTCACCCGTGATGCGGAATAAGTGCAAAGACAATCGACTTCATTTTTTATCCGAACATTGCATCATAAGACGTATCTTTTACAATTGGGCATTTCAGAATCCGTGTTCAATATGAGAAATATCCTACATATTTTCCTGGAACCGCCTACCATAGTGGTAACCGCAATTTCTGAACACCTTCGAGGAAGTATTAATTACACAGCGGCTCCGCGTAAATAAGGTTGAAATGTTCCGTGAAAAATTCCGCAACCGGCAATCTAAATGAATAAATTACACATTTCAGACTCCGCTTATTTATACTGGTAAATATTAGTTGTCAAACGGCTCTAGCACTCAATCATTATCCCATTGGTTCAAGTTGCCATACCTGAGGAAAAATGACAATGATTTATTTTGTCATATAATTAAAGTCGTTGGTATGAGATTCATGATTCCTTTAAGATGACGTTACAGATAATGATAATTATAATATAGATAACTATGTAATTTCTATACATTGCCATAATTGCATTTACTCTCATAGATGAAGATGATTGGGCAATCTTGTAGGTGACGATCAGTATATTCTTCCATATCTGTCGGGGTAAGTAGATTCTCATTGACTCAAATTCCTTTAGCTATACGGGGTGTTCCCGTACTTAAGAGGACATGGAGTGAAATGGTAGGTAGTTATGAGTCGTGATGTTTTAATATCTGAAGATGAAGAAGTTGTAGATTTAATTTTTACCGATATACAGGATGGTTTATCTAAAAATGCCAAGTCTTTAATGTCGCAAATCTCAGGCACTATTGGGATGATTTTGTTAAAATTTTGCACGACAACATAGTTGCCTAGAGGTGACGTAAAACTATAAAAGCCAGAAAGGTAAGTTCTAAATACGTGTTGGGCATAAAAGTATTTAGAAAAAGACAGGGTTTCTCGTATGGCAGTTAAGTAAATTGAATATTTACTCGATGTATTGCGAAAAACGTTAATCTACCTTCACTAGTAAGTGAGATACACCGATGATATATCATCTGAAAATGGGACACCCTGTACATGCCCTTTTCAGTGCAGGTCTATTTGTATGTATGTCTATGATTATAGGCATAATAATCTCGAAATCAACAATTATTATACATTGTCCTAATTGAGGGTAATAAAGCAGGCCATAGGAGAGAATCGGGAGCACCTTTAAGAACCAGCATGAGCGGGGTCGTCGCGAAAACGAACCTAATAAATCCATGCATTGTTTCGTGGTCGCTATCTAATCTGGCATCGGATCGGAGATCGCCGCATGTATCCAACGAGGGCGAATGCCAAAAAAAACATTCTGGGAGGTACTGTTCGACCGAAGATGCGACGGAGACGGGTACCATGTTGCCCTAACAAGCTCATGGCATTGCTTTTTCTTACCTAAAAGCAAGTCGCGTAAGAATAGGTTAAGGTCAACAACAACAGCAACAAAATTTTATTTCCAAATAACAATGCAAAAATCCATCTATGTTAGGTGGCACAGACATTATTGCAACAAAAAAAAAAACGATAGAGAGAAAAACTAGAATCTTGCTAAATAGCCATCGAGATAATAAGGTTCTAGATCTATCAAAAATGTGTGTACTTGAAGAAATTCAAATGACTTTCTTTATATCTGAAGGATGATGATTAAAAATTTTCAAACAACTACGTTCTTTTCTGTTAAAGTGAGACAGCGAATACGACGTATATAATTGAAGTTTCGAATGTTAAGGTTACTCGCTGGTAAATACTTTTCAAGAAGAGTTCGAGTTTTGAGGACGAATAGTAAGACTTCTTGTAAATAAACAGCAGTGGGGACTAAATTTTCCACGGCATGATTATTTTTGTGACATACAGGGCTATACCATATCTCATGATAGGTTGAAAGCCATCAGGGTAGATCGAGTCTTCGGCTCTTCCGTCAGATTATCCGATACCCAGAGAGAACAAAGTTTCCTCACGTGTAAATGGTTATGCAGAATTGAATGAATTTTCGGTGCAAGAAGGTCTCCTCTATCTGTTGGTATGTCACTCTCCGGTATTTGTCATGCATTTTCCTCAAATCAGTAATGTTTTCCTCTGTAACTACAAGTTAACAACTAAGTCAACAGACGTGCTGCTGGCGGCTACTATGTATTCATGGACATAAAAAAAACTTTTGTAGTATCCTATGTATATCCTGTTGAAGTTCCCTAAGAGACGGCATTCCTCAACTGGCCAACGAAAAGGTGGCAGAGCTCGACCGAAGGCGACATATTTACGACGGTCTACAAGACAGCCGTGCGTCAGTTGGTTCGTCCGGACCTAACCTAATTTATATCCGGACACTTCTCGACAAACGAAGACGAGGCCGTCGAGTCAGTGCAACTCGGCCTTATTTGGGGGCACCGACAACGGGACGGAATTTTCAAATAAGCCGACATCGGTCTTCCATAACAGCAGATGCGCGAATGGATGATACCAGGGTTGGAGGAGTTTTTCATTCCGGGAGCTCCTGTAGAAATGACAATGTTGGCGTGTCTATGCCCCCACGGGGAACAAACTCGACCAACTAAAAGCTGTCGTTTACGATTCGAAAAATTCGAAGACGCTTTTAAAATTCTTATTTCGGACTTTGTAAGCTGCCTCTTTGAATTTTCATTGATACCAGTGTGCTTCTTTATGTATGACCTTGGTATCTTCCAAGTTTATTTCGCGGTGTTCTCTGAATCCGCGTTCTCCTGATTCCTCCTACACCTGATTTTTCTGTTTCGGTCCAGTTTGAAGTTGGTGCTCCTTTATCCTCACATTCGTCTCCTCGTCTCCCTGATGTAAACTTTTCCACATTCACATGGGACATGGTATATTCAATTCAGCGCTTGGTATCGTGATGGTTACTACTAGGTTTTGTTTCTGTGGGAATGCTCCGTAGAATCTAATTTCGCTGTGGCACTTGCCTCCCGATTCTTCTTAAGACACTAGAGATGCCTTTCACGTACAGTAAGTAGGGGAGTAGTGGCATGAAAGAGCCAGTTTTATAGACGTAGCCAAAAAATATACTTTTAATGAATGAAATGATTATTTTTTTAGTCAAACTATTATTTATTTATTAAAGTATATATTTCATACAAAAAATCTAAAATACGGTATATAAAACCAATGAAATATACGTTTTATAAAAATGTGTCATTTGGCTCTTTCATAACATTTCGGTATTGAAAGAGCCACTAAGCCAGCTTGTATTATAACTTGAAATTGTGAAAATTATACAAACTAATAAGTATACACTATTAAAAAACAAATGAAAAGACAATTCTAACAAATTCTTTTTAAAAACTAATGATATTTTATAATAAATATAAACTTAACATATTAGAGGCGGATTATTTTTTATCAATAACAGTGTTGAAATTAAATAAAACAACAAGTAATATCTTTTACCAAAAACAAAATCGTTAAATCTATCAGAACAGAATATAATGCGTATTCTTCAAATTAGAAACATGTCTTGCAAAAGAAATTAAGGTTCCCCTTAATACTACAGCATTCATGAACCCAACCAGAACAAATTTTGCACTGAAACCAATCTTGATCACTGTCTTTATTATGTTTTGCTGCATACTACACAATCATCACTATTGTTATTTGTCTTTGGGTTTATTTTGCTTCGAACACCCTTTGTTTTTAATTCAGCCAATACGATAGAGTCAGACGAATCAGATTCATCTTGCAGAACGGAATTTTCTTTATTTATTTCTGATTTTGTTTTAAGCGTTTTTATGGAGTCTTTTGTAGTCATTTTCTTAACAGTAACTTTTGGTTTCTTTGCACTATACTCTTTCTCCTCTATTTTTTTCCTTTCGGGAGAGTCGGTTACGATAGCAGATGACATTTTTCTATTATTTCGTTTCGTGTTTTGTCTTGGCCCCGCTTTAGAAAATGGTCTTATCATCTCCGGTGATATAATTCGTTGACTAGGATTTGCAGCCGTGGGGGTGGAGGTTGAACGGTGAGAGAGTCTGATATTCTGATCTATTAGAAGCTCATTTTCTTCGCCAGCTTCAAGCGATTTTGTAGAAGATGGAGGTGTTGTTTCTAAGTTTCTTTCCATACTTTCCTTATACAAGTTCAAACCATCGTTTGACTGCGGATCAAGTCTATCACTCACATATGAAGATAAAAATGCTTCTTCACTAAATATATTAGAATTTAATGGATAAATTCCTGTTTTCAAAAATCCTTGTGTTATATTCTGTGGACTGAAAGCTGACAAATATGCTTCTTTTACAAATTGCCCAATTTGATAAATAGCAACTGTTTTTCCAGGGTTCGTCAACATCCATTCATTCATGGCAGTGCGGTACCTAGTTTTGAAAGGCCCATATACTGTGATATCCAGTGGTTGCAGTTTATGACTGCAGTGTGGTGGGAATGTAACTATTATGATGGAGTTTTGTCTGGCAAATTCAACCACATGAGAGGTGTGATTATCCATTAATATCAATGCTGGATTCTCTTTTGATGGCCTGACATGTATTACAAAGTGTTCAAGCGCTTTCACAAAACAGTCTTCAGTCATCCATCCAGAAACTTGAGCCAATCCTAGGGCTCTTGGCGGACCATTATTTAACATATCTTTATAGTTTACTCTAGGAAACACAAAAACGGGCGGCAAAAAACCACCAGCAGCATTAATAAAGAACAGAGTTGTCACCAATGTTCCTCGTTCGGCTGAGGTAACTTGCCCAATTTGTTTCGAACCCCTTTCAGCTATGACCTTACGAGGATTGGTGACGGTGCTGCAGCCTGTTTCATCGGCGTTAAAAATCCTATGAGGAGGAAATTTGTATCTTTGTAAAACAGTGTTTAATTTCTCAAAAAATGTGCTTACATTAGCTTTATTAAAACTTGTTGCACGGGATAGAGAAGTGCTTTCAGGTTTTCTCACAGTTAAGTCTTTGTGTCTGCTCATAAATCAGTCGCAGTTTCAACTTATTTCCATTTGGGTGGATAGATATCATTGGCTACGACATAATCAAATCCTAGCTTCTTTGCTTGATATATAATAATAATAAATATAGGGTTATAAAAGAGCCGGTTATGAAAGAGCCAGCTCTTTTAAGGCCTATGCACCCGGCTCTTTTATAACTTATTGGTAAAAAATATATAACCTTCAAAATAACAGCAATATAAAACCTTTTGCCGCTTAGTGTTTACGCAGTTGCAAGGCCAATTATATGCACAAACTGAATCTGCAATCCACATACTTGTATTTGTTTACAATAAAATGCCAAAAAACTACATAGATAGAGCAAAATACTTACTTTTGGATGCCAAAAATTTTGACTCGATGTACCGCCGCCTGTTACCACTAGCCAACTGTCAAATGTTTGTGGGTGGCGGGAAATCAGTGCTGCCACCTTAAAATAAGATCACCCACCAAATTCGTTCCTAAACCACCGAAATAATGCAAGTGGCTCTTTCAAAACCTGGCTCTTTCATGCCACTTCTCCCCTACTATGAGGATGTGCTGCTGTTCATCCCGCGTGCTTCTTCTGATTGTAGTATCATCTTGCAAAACTTCTTCTACTACGCTTTTTGCGGGTCTCCTCCTGAAAATTTACTCGTTAGTTGCAGATGTTTTTATGAACGAAGGTTTATCTAAGGTAATTGAAACGTTGTGATTTAGAAAATTGTATAGTCAACAGAAGTCCGAAATAATGCTTTTGAAGCAACTGATTACGTTGTCTACAAATTTCAAACAACAATTTACAGATAAGTCATTAGCGAACAAGATGATCAATGTAGGAGCCAAAATGCTTCCTTGAGGAACGCCGCATACCCGCGTCCTTGAGTCGAGATATTTTCACATCATTGGTCTCAATCAAAACTACTATTACCTAAGGATATGACCAATATCTGACCGACAGGTGGCTGGCCAGTGTCGATGTTAGTCACATCAAGGTTGCTGACTATGTGGTACCGTCGGCAGAGCAGGGGAAAAGCCTCTAGGTCCAAGCATTGTCGAATAGGTGCGGACTATACACTTATTCTATGAGCCTGTGCGACTGACTTCATCGATTAAATTTTATTGTTAAACATAATCCGTCATAAGCTAATGATAGCTTTACGTGAGAAAGGCAGAGTCAACCTGCTTGGTGCCATTTGGTATATGAATTAACAAATAGACATCATCCATAATCAACACACCTAATGTAGGCAACACGAGGATTACGCGTTGATGCCCAGTAGAATAGATAGATAAATATTCAGCCAGAATCAATGCATGAATCGTAAGTAGGTCATGGGTAAGCCTGTTATAATATAATCGGGAGCATTTAGATATGTTTGAAATGAAAAAAGTTCGGGAGGATTTCCTCAAGCTCTTTACGTGTATACATATATAATCATTCATTTCTTGGATCTGGGATAGTTCTGTGTATATCCGATATTTTTTGTGTATTTGGTAACTAAAGTTGACTTCCGGCTAACAATGCCTATGCATACGTTATCAAGTGGTTTATTATTCATATTTTTTCTATTTCTAAAGTTGTCCTCTCCGCTACCGAAATGCTCTACTTTTCCTATTGTGCAGATAAACTGGTAGAGGCGAAGACTTTTGTTCTTTGCAACTTACACTGTACGGATGATCCCTAAGGATATGAAACAGCGCTGTATGTTGCTGGTGAGAACGGACGAAAAAAACCAGTTGCAGTTGAGTATCACGTGATGATAGCAATATAGCTTTGGAGGAGCTAAAACTGCCATTCGATTAAGGCCCGTATCGTCAGTCATCCCTACAATTGTAGGGCGCCTTTATGGCCTCCTTAATTGTCATAGTTTTCTACTTCTCCGTGTCAGCGCTCTATTTTGAGGTTATGTCACAAACATCTATTTGCATCAAGTTGTGCTTGCTTTTGAGTTATATCATGTTTTATCAGCCTGAAATTTCGTACAATTTAAAAGGAAAACATATCTTAACAATAGGAGAGCGCTGACGATGACACGGGACGAGTGTAATCTAGAAATTTTTGAAGGAGAGAAAAGAGTATGACAATCAAGGAGGCCACAAAACGCACCCTACAATTGTAGGGACGACTGACGATACGGGCCTTATGTTTGGCTAGCAAGAATGAAACGTCAAAAACAGAAATATAGGCTTAAGCAGGCCGGCTTCAGAATTTTGTGCGCCCAGAGCCAAGGATAAAATACGAGGTGTGTCTAAACTGTAACGCTTCCTTTCCGCAAAAAGTCCAGAAAAGATGGAATGCAATGATGATTCCAACTTGTCTGCACAATCACAGAAAGAGGGTTACCATTAGCTTCCGGTAGCTCAGTCGGTGGCATGAAGACATCTACAATCGTGTAGCTGTGTGTCGACCATGGCATGGCTAGAGGATAGAAGAACAAACAGAACACAAAAATTTAACAGATTTTATTTAACAAAAAAAAGGCATTTTCATTACATTACAATTTTACAAAAATAACAAAATAAGTTTTACATCTTTGGCGCTGCTATAACGCTATCGACTTATCTTTCGCTGGTCCATTTTTACTCGACTGAAGCCAGGATGGCCAGGGGCTTGAAGGGGAGGTCCCAGTTATGAGGGGCGACCTCCATATAGTGGCTTCACAACCAGTTGTAGGCGAAGTTAAAGGCGATGGCGCTGCCAAGGCACATGCATGGGTGAAAATATTGGCCAAGGCTAGGCAAAGTGAAAGGGAAAGAGAAAGGGGGTGGCCCCAATCTGAAAAAGAACCGTGTGCATTAGCAACGTGCCCTAATGGCCAAGGCATTTCCAATCTCAGTCTGCCTCAAAAGAGAACCAACGATTTTCTAGATTAGAATTACATTATATAGTTTGATAAAATCAAACCGAAAATTGGAAATGCCTTTCATAAAATAAAATCATGAAATAGCAAAAAAAGCGTAGAACAAGATGGTGGTCATCAAAAATTTCTCCACATGCTTCTGATATAAAAACAATCATCGAATATTCATAATCAACGTACTTATAATTTCACTGAACTATGAATATATATACGCGCACAGAGGTAAAATCGATGTGGATCGATTTCCACCTCGATTTGATTAAAGTTATGGCGAATGATCGAAGTAGTCGAAAATGACGTTCGATGGATATTTTAAAATCGTACAAGAAATAAATCACTCACATATCGATTATCTATAAACTACAGGCAGATCCAGCAATAAAACTGTATAGTATTATAAAACTCACCATTTTTGTCCTATACGGACACACACTCTAGAAAATTCTAGCACATGGTGCTATATAACCTTGTGCTACTGAGAAGAAATTTCTAGCCGTTGTTCGATCGGCGGCTCAAGTGAAAAGGAAGCGCGAGGAAGATCGCAGATCAGGAACTCCGCATCAAGCGCTCCAAGCGGAAAATTTTCCAAGCAAAAAAGCTAGAGATGGGATTAATGAAATGATAATCGAGAAGTGATTTAATAAATACGATCGGACGGTGAAACCGTTACACTCGCCCCAACTTAACCAAAAAAAAAAAAAAAATCGAAGAAGCATTTAAGAATTTTTTTTTTACTAGGAAATTGAAAGTTATCACGGAAGGACAAATGTACAACCATTCGACCAGATAACAAGTAGTAAAAGTAAGGTAGAAACAAAAATGTTAGAAGAGAATTGGAAGAAAAAGGGATAGCCTCAAGTCTACCAAACAAGAGGGATGGTTATAGCACCAACTCGCTGAAAAGTACAGTGAAGTTGCACTTAAAAAAAACTATCATCATATGATGAAAAACCCAAAACATAAAACATCGTCATACCTAAGACGAGAAAAATAATAAACCAAAAGTTTCGGCAGTAGTCCAAGCACGAATCACAATGGCATCCAAAATGCACGACTGACTACTAAAAACTTCAAAACTAAGTAAGTACCTAAACCATAAGAGGTACTAAAAAAATAATAATCTTTCTCAAAACAATTGCCAGATTATCTCGCAATACTCCAAACCCAAAAAGATTATGATCTACAGTGATATTTTAAACCAATATCCAATATAAAAAAACTGTGCATTACTATTTTCAAAATATGAAAATCAAAAGAAATTAACAAATTCTATTAAGAATTCCAGTTATATAACAAAACAATTTACAAGTACTAAACCAATGAAAACTTGATCACGAAGGTATTTTAATCAAAAAAGATGTTAACTAAGTGCAGTTCTGATTCCACAAAAAAATTGTCGGGCGCCAGCAGTCTGTAAGACTACAAAATAATTCAAAATATTTTCAGAGAATTAAAGTATATAAGGGACATTCATGAAATATTGAAGTAAGATTTTCAAAGTCAAAATATAGCTTAAGTTCAATCAATGAACTAAAATTCAAGAGTAAGTTCAATCAAAATTTTCGGGTCATGTGACAACATAAGAACCAGACTAAAAAAAAATTTGAAGTACAATATAGAAAAGAGCAAAATAAATTTCCAAAAAAACTAAGTGCAACACAG